GACCTTGAAGCAACAAGGAGGATCATCCGGCTTACGGCTAAACACACAGTTAGCCACTACCAACTTCTCCAAGCTGGGAAACCCAACGGAAAGATCGAGATCAGCGGCACTGCTACAAGGCACACTGACCTCATCCAAATGCAAAACCCTCAGCGAGCTGAAACCACCGAATCCCGTCCCCAAACGTGCGGCCCTCAACTCTAGCATTGTGAGATTGCTATTATCAGCCAAGGGGGCAAGGAAATAGGGTTGGAGATCTGTGACTGTAGTAACAAACAACTCTCGACAACGGCGAGAAGCAGCAAATTGTATGACCTTGTGGAGCCACCGCCGCGGAAGACGACGAGTTCAGTGTGGTTTGCGGGAGGAGGTGGGAGGAAGGAGGAGAGCGGCGGCGACGGTTTTGGGGAAATAAGGAGGTGAGAGGAAGGAGGAAGAAGGGTTGGGTGGGGTGGGGTTGGGTCATGGGTTGGGTTGGGTTGGTTTTAATGACGTGGCGGGTTATAATGACGTGACGGGTCGGGTTTTATTTTTGTTGCAATCTAGTTATGCTCCTAGCAGGCCATTTTGTTAGGAGATACTGATAGGGTTAGATGGGCAGCCACGTCTTCAAGCCACGATCCAGCGGTGGAGGTAGATTGGCGCCAGCATGTGAGGGAGGAGAGCCGAGTCCATCGGCTGGCCCAAGCCTACAGAAAAAGAAAATGGGGCCCACCAGGCCCCCAAATTCAAAAAACACCACTTTTTTTTACTCAAAACCCTCCCATCTCTAATCTTTCTCCACCAGACACGTTTTTCCCCCCTCTCTCTCCAAAAATCAATTGTTTTCACTCCCTCTCTCTTTCCTCTCCCTCTCCCTTTCCTCTCCCGATAACGACGACGGTGGCCAGGTTAGTTTGACGGCGGCGACGGTGCAGACGAAGCGGCGGCGACGGTGCAGACGAAGCGGCGGCGACGAAAGGGTTGGTTGACAGCGGCTAAGGTGCAGACGAAGCGGGCTTATTTTGACAGTGCAGACGAAGCGGCGCGCGACGAAGGGTTGGTTGACGACGGTTGTTGACGAAAGAACTACTTCGTTGACTGAGGTAGCAGAGTTTTTTCCCATTTGTTCATGGATACTCATGTTCGTTTGAGTAGATTGAGTTAAGGTTGCATAGCTTCGACTAGATCTGAGTTTTTCTTTTCCTGCGTTTTTTTTTCCGATGGGTTTGATGGATTTGTTTTCTGTTAACTTAGATTTGACTGGATCTGGGTTGCTTTCTTTTGTGGATTTTGTGGATATGTTTTCTGAGTTTGTGGATTTGATTGGATCTGGGTCTGGGTTGCTAGGTTTGTGGATTTTGTGGATTTGACTAGATCTGGGTTGCTTTGTTTTCTGGGTTTTGTGGATATGTTTGGTGTGTGTTCCGATATTAGTTTTGTTCAGGAAGGATATCAGTTTTCAATTGCATGGATAGTTGTGTGGTTGGGATCTAGGATTCGTTTTGTAGATCTGGAATTTTAGTTCCTTTCATAGTGGATAACAATTAGCATGCTTGGGATCCTACTTTTTGATGATGTGGATATTGTTATGTAATTGATCATTCAGATATTAGTTATGTGATGTCTGGATATTTGTTTACTCTGTCTTGATATTTCTCTGCCCTATATGGATGTTAGTTCACTTATATGAGTTTTGAGCGGTTGAGATATTTGTTATATTATGTCTGGATACTTATTTGTTTGTATCTGGATATTACTTCTATTATGTTAGTTTTGTGATGTCCAGATATTAAAAATATTATGTCTGGATATTTATCCTTCATGTTTGGATATTTGTCTGCTTTTTATTGGATATTTTTCTATGTTTACCGAATATTTGTATGTGCTTCAGGGATTTTGCATAATGGAAGACAAGGAGCACTCATTGCGACTAATCTCTTACTCTGGCACTATAATGCCCATGTAGTTGGGATTAGACATGGGGTATTTGGGATTCAATTTGTTGATGATGTGGATTCTAGTATGCAATTGGTTGTCCAGATATTAGTTATGTAATCTATTGGTATTTTTTTCTCCCAATCAGGATATTACTCTGCCATGTATGGATATTAGTGTCCTGATATTTGTTCTGTGACGTCAAGATATTAGTGTCCTGATACTTGAAAACCAGTGTTTTGTTATGGAATACATTTTGTGATTTGGGGATGCTAAATACTAGTTCATTTCAACAATAATATAAATTAAGTAGATAAATATCCACACAAAACAAATATCCAAACAACACAGACTAATGTCTAACCATCACATACTAATATCCATTCACACAAAACAAATATCAAAACCAGCCAGCCTAAATATCCGAACGTCACAAACTAATATCCGTTCAGCATAACAATTATCCACACCCCAAAATGGCATGATCGAACACGGAGGGCTTTGAGGGATATGATCAAAAATATTATATAAAGTTTGGCCAAGAAAGACAACATTTGAACTATTAAGTAGATAAATATCCACACAAAACAAATATCCAAACAACACAGACTAATGTCTAACCATCACATACTAATATCCATTCACACAAAACAAATATCAAAACCAGCCAGCCTAAATATCCGAACGTCACAAACTAATATCCGTTCAGCATAACAATTATCCACACCCCAAAATGGCATGATCGAACACGGAGGGCTTTGAGGGATATGATCAAAAATATTATATAAAGTTTGGCCAAGCAAGACAACATTTGAACTATTCCTTTTTCATTTTTGTGGTTGTACTTTTACGGATTTTAGATTATGAGATTGCAAAGTTGGAATGACACTGAATACTAGTTGTATCGCGGTTTGTCAAAAAACGACTTTGTTTTGTTACGGATTTGTTTAAACTAAATATCAACACAAACAAACATAGATAAACACCATATAAAACAAATATCCAAACCAACCCAGACTAATATCCGACTTTGCAGACTAATATCTGTTCACAATAAAAAAAATGTCCACACCACCCAGACTAATATCTCACCGTTAAAGACTAATATCTGATGATACCATAATTAATATCGACACCATGATAGACTAATACCCACCACACACAGACTAATATCTAAACCCTAAATCAAAATCCTAAACCGTAAACCCTAATTCTAAGTCCTAAAGTCTAAACCCTAACACTAAACCCTAAATTGATGTAATCATATACAAATAAGTAGATAAACACCACATAAAACAAACATCCAAACCCACCCAGACTAACATCCGTTCACAATAAAAAAAAATGTCCACACCACCCAAACTAATATCCCACCCTCTAAGACTAATATCCGCTGATACCATAATTAATATCGTTACCATGATAGACTAATACTCACCACACACAGACTAATATCTAACTTCCCATCACATAATAATATCTTATCACTATAAACAAATATCGAACCACCCTACATTGTATTCATAAAAATTTCCACAATATCGTCTTCTAAAACCTAAATCAAAACCCAACCAACTACATATAAACTCTAAACCCTATTTCCTAAAAAAAATAAACCATAATCACTAAACCACAAAAACTAAATCCTAAATTATAATCACTAAATCATAAACATAGATAAACACCACATAAAACAAATATACAAACCAATCCAGACTAATATCCGTTCACCATAAAAAAAATGTCCACACCACCCAGACTAATATCCCACCCTCTAAGACTAATATCCGATGATACCATAATTAATATAGTCACCATGATAGACTAATACCCACCACACACAGACTAATACCCAACACAGATAGACTAATACCCACCACACACAGATTAATATATGGATGTCTTAGACTAATATCCGACTACACACCAAAAATATCCACACATCATGAACTAATATCCTCCTATCACATAATAATATCTTATCACCACACACTAAAATTGACCACCATACGTTGTGTTCAAAATCATTTCCACAATATTTTCTTCTAAACCCGAAACCAAAACTCAAACCCTACACCTGAAACCCTAATTGTAGACACTAAACCCTTAACATTAAACCGTAACACAAACCCTAAATCATAAAACTATTATTATTTAATGGGCCTTCGGCCCATGGGCCCTCGGCGGGCAGCCCTAACTAAGGTTGCAAGCCTTACGTGTTAGGACTTCCTAGTGTGTTTAATTTCCTAGTGTGTTTAATTTGATGTAAGAAACAATATTCCAATCCTTCACAAATTGAAAACCGAACCATAAACCCTAAAACTTAACTCTAAATTGGTGTAATCAGTTTTGGGTGGTTGGGTTATTTTGGGGTTTGGTAAATATTAATTTAATGATGAATATTGGTTTGCGAAGAAAAAATACTAGTTCATTTCAACAATGATGCAAAGTAATATCAACACAACACATAATAATATCGACTGTAAATAAATAAATATCCGCACAAACAAACATACATATATATCACATGGGGCCCAAAAATTTCGTTCTCTTTCCACTCCAACCCAAAATCCCGCCCAAACTGGCCCCGGGCCCACCAAGCCACTTGCTCGGCTTGCCTTCTGCGCCGCACGCTGGGCCGGCTTCTACACGGAAGCCCATCTCCAGCTCATTTAAGTGAGCCACCACCCAGCTGCCACTCTCCTCCGTTGGATGAAGCCCAAGCTAACGTGGCCCAAAATCTGACCCTGTCAGTATCTCCTAACAAAATGGCCTGTTAGGAGACTAACTTTTTCGTTTTTGTTGGGTTATATCCGGCTGATTAGGCATTTCAGTTTGCCACATCATCACTTAACGGACTTCATTAACGGAGTTGGACGGAGACTAACGGCAAGTGACTAAATGTGTCCAGTTTTAGTAATTGTAGTGACCAAATTTGATATTAATTTTTTCTAGTGACTAAACATGTCCTGATTTTGTAATCTCAGTGACCAAATGTGTCTTTAACCCAAAGAAACGCCGTATAGGAACGGAACGCTAATCGGCTTGGTTTATCAAACTGAAAACGAAATGCAAAAGAAAATGGACGAGAATGATTAATTGGAGAGATCATCATTTATCAAAGTACCACGACATTTTACCGCGATTTGTGAGAGTTCGACGCAATATGGGGAGATGAACAAGACTCAGAAAGCAGAGATGGCTCCTCTTTCTTTGCTTTCAACGACGAGATAAGTTCTATTCTCAACATTTCTAGGCCTCATTCATCCAATGATTTGACATCTTGGTACTAGATCTGAGCTTGGTTGAGCACTGTAAGCTTGTTGGGCTCGTGCATGAAAATAATTTGCCTAGTTACTCCTACCAAAAATGGTGGCACATTTTAAACGTTACTGGCAATATCTTGGGGAGTTTGGTGTATACAGATTTGGGGGATGCTGCATAGCAGAGGTCACTGAGAGTCGAGCTTCTTCCAGAGGTAGGAAGCTCTTCTAATGATTGGATCAGCCGAGAATCCTTCCGCATAAGCACTTATCGCATTCAGCAGACTTGTAAATTTCTCCCCATTATCCTGTACGTTGAAGCCACCCAAAACAGATCAGGGCCGACAGAGCATGGAAGAGGAAATATCAGGAAAAATGCATAGTAATTCTGCAGACCTCTGGTCTCCTAAACTCCAGGTCTTCGGTGTCAAATGGAACCATGTAATGTGGAAGATCACATCGTAGTATGGCCTGCCACCACCACAAAACATGTTTACACGTCGTAATAAGGAAGAGAAGCGGTAGGAGAGGAGGCAAGGCTGTGTTCTATTTTACCAGTTCTTTGCTTAGTACAGCCTGATCAGCATGTGTTATCAGGGCCTACAAAACATATGCAAAATGACCACAGATAGCAGCGATTCAGCGAATGGCCAAAACAATCCAGAAGTAAAGCTAGATTTTCTCTTATTTATGTCATTGAAGGGCATAAACCACTCGGCAATCATTTTCCCGAAGGGAGGCAGAAAATTCACCATGATATGATCTCGGATGCAGATATGTGAACTCTTAGCTGATCAAGACTAGAGAGGTGCAGCATAGTCGATATTATAGGATGAATCTACCAAGGGTTTTGATGGATCGATGAGCAAAAGTGATACTTTTTTGAATACTAATTGTTTGATGGCCTCAAACAGAAATTTTTGCAGGAAAGATTAACAACAATGGGCAGAACTATACAAAATGACAACCCAAGGGTTGGCTTAGTGGTAATAGATAGACAAAAAATATTCAAACCACCCTGCCAAAGACTTGGGGCCAACATCATCTCTAAAAGAGACCGCAAAAAGACATCATATTTCATAACTTGGGTAAAAAGTATTAGCAGACTGCCACCAATTGTAAACAAGCTAAGAGCTTTTACCTTTTTTATTCGTTCCTCTGCAACTTGATCAACGCATTGCAGCAGATTTTCCAGCGTCCCTGCCAAAATCAGTAATCTCTTATCACATGCAAAATATCACCACTATACACAAAAGATTAAAAAGTCTCAAAGGAAGAAAGATCAATCCAGCACTAGGTGCCAGTGACGCCTCTGAAACAACATATGGAATCCAGACATATCATGTAAAATGAGTTTGTGCAGCACCTATGTCCTGCTTTTACATAATGTAACCGATGACGAGAGGTACAACTGTTTCTTACCAAATCTAGAGATTAGTTGCAAAGCATGGACGTCACCTATACCTTCAACTCCTGTAAGAATATAAACATTAATACTTCAATGTAAGAAGAGGGCATGCCATAGCAAATATTTTTCTTCTCAATTTAGACAGAATTATATAGATACAGTTAATCATAGTAGTGCAAAGATGACCTGGAATATTATCTGCCTTGTCACCCACGAGAGAGATCATATCAACAAATTGAGAAGGTTTCAATGACAGATATCGTTTAGAAAAATCTTCTATCCCAAAAGAAACCATTCTGAGGAAGCAAACAAATGAATATGGTATCAGCAAGGAAACAGAAAGTGGACAAACGAGAGTTATCTTAGGGGCAGCAGGAATGGATTCAAATAGAAATATTGAGTTTATCTAAATTTGACACTTCATGATAACCCAAAATAATATCAATAATGAAGGGATTCCAAAATCCCTACTGTCCTCTAGGACTCTACAAAAAGCTATGAAAATGTGAGAAATAACATAATGTTACACAAGGCTGGGAATAGAGGATTCAAGAAGGTTTCAGCTTTATCTACCTAAACCTGGGGTTGTCGCATGTTTGCCCCCTTATCCATGACCACTAACTAATGATGAAAACAGGAAGATGTGGCAGAACAAATTAATGAAGAACTCCAAGACATAAAGATGTTATCCATAGAAAATAGCCACGAATGATGCCAATTGAGATTCGAAGGTAACAGGTTCTCAGTTGAAATTCTAAGAGCAATTAAAATACAATCACAAGCACATGCTTTCGACAATGCATCCATGCACTCTAGATGCAGAGAAGATATGATATATCACAGGCCACTGGTACAATCGACATGCATTATTCTCAAGCAATGCAGGTGTTGGGATTCCTACAGCTCTAGATCCTTTATGATGAGGATTCTGGTTGAACTTCAAGTTCAATATCTGGAATTTTCCTTCATGAACTAATCTGTAACATCTCAGTGGAATTAGAGTGGACAGAATTCTTAGGAAGATACTAACTCAGAGCCCCGTGGTACAAGGCGTAGAAGACGCAATGAAGGAGATAGAATTTGGAAGAAGTCTTTATCTGGAGAAACCACTCGCACCTGGCAGAAGGATATCATTAAAAGGTCAGAGGATATAAGCAACATTGAGGCAGAAAGTATTCATATAGTCACATTAACTTTTTAAACTTGAGACAATGGAGCACATCTCTTGAGACGTCATGCATCTTAAACACTTTAGGTATCACCATCAAAAGTATATTGAGATGAAGCATGGATTCTCATATCAAATAGGAAAACGAAGAAAAATGGACTCATTTAAAACTAAACTCCAGAATTGCGAGTGCTGTGCACCACTAAGGCATATGGACCAATATATGAAAGAATAAATAACAGAGTAAAAGCAAGGACTAAATGTGTTGAATAGAAACTACACGTCATGGAGGAAAAGACATCAGATAGATACCACCCCTCATTTTCTAAATAGTACTCTGTGACTGGCTCTGACATATTTGATGGTTTTTTATGCTTTGTATTATATGAAAAGAAGGCCGATGAAACCATCCATCATAATCTTTCATTGACGAAATTTTGAAATTGTTTCAAACTGATTGTGCAAGTTCCACTTGCTAACAGTAAAGTAAGAGATGCCCTTGATCTTTTGCAATTTCATAGTTACCTTGAACCCTTCAGCAACACTTTTTGTGGCTAAAGTTCCAATCACATCATCTGCTTCTACTCCAGGTGTCTGTCTTGACACAGAATTGGGTCAGTAACCAAGTGAGAATAGTCATGTAAGCAAAGGAAGAATGCACAGTTATTTACCTCGATGACTTTAATGGACATGGCTTTGAGGGATGCTTTCAGATATTGCAGTCCCTGAACTATTGTGTCAGGTGTAGGAGGACGGTTGCTCTTGTATGCAGGGTATAAATTGTGGCGAAAATTGATACCTTCAAAGAGTTACGGTAATAAGGATAAACAAATTCAGTTATATAACTTAAATCTGTTTGTAACTGCACAATCACCACAAGGTGCATCTTGTAGCATCAACTTAGCTCCATGTTAGATACTTGATCAATTAGACACTCTTGGTGCACAAATCTAGCATGCTGTGTCGAGCAAAACTGTATTAAGTTCAAAGCACTTCTGATTATCACAAAAAGTAAGTTCACCCTTTTAATACTTTCTCCAAATTTGTTACTTTCCAGAGTTGGTTCAGTGGTAGCATGCATGTACTATAACACACAACAACAGAGTTCAATTACCCATGATTATTGCAATTACTAACACAGCATGCATAAAACACCAATATCCATAGTTTGATCCCTCACAAGTACAACACTCTGATGACGCAAATGTAGACAGCAAACATATGGAGCACCAAAATGCCCTTGAAATCTAGATAATTAAGGGAAAATAGGTTTAACTAGACGTCCAGAACGAATACGTAAAAACTAACAAAGGCAAGGAGATCCTTCCAAGGCCAAAATCCTCATTTCATTTATAAAAATACTGAAATAGATATAGCTTAATAAGATCCTTTTTTGGACAACCCTCCTTCTGAGTATAGGATATAAAAAAAAAATGATACACTCAACAGTTACATGATAAGAAAACTAAATTGGAGAGATAGAAAATGGATAAACTCGAGGTCACCAATTTTATTCTGGTTATGCCAAATGAACATGAAAGATCACCACTCACTGGCACAAGAGACAACAAATGTCACGTTACTTAAAATAAGTGAAAAAATGCTCATGCAAGTTGCTGATCAATCAGTAGCCTGATTTAGCTATCCTAGTGAAAGATCATAAGTCATTGAATAATAGGGGATGCTTCCATCTCGTATTCTTCTATACAAGTCTGGCATTCAAATTCTGTGTCCCTCCAACTCAGCATTCTCAATAAAATCATTACATGAAAGGCAGCAGATGACCTACCTTAAAAAAACACTATCATTGTGTAGAGTATGATAAATAACTAAGTTGATAGAAAAAAAAGAAGAAAAAAAAAATAGAATCCCCACATGATAATTGTATCTTTTTAAATTCAATCTCTTCAGTTATCAGTGGCACCTTGGAATCCGACAGGGAATAAAAACTAATAAATTATCATTGTCATGATAATATTGAACAAATATGTGTCATGCGTAGTTGATCTTCAACAGTGCTATTAGAACAAGAAAATTTTCATTTATGAATATGATATTTCTTTATGTAAACCCACAAGTAAAGTCAACCACAACCTCATCTAGCTGCAAGTTTTTTCTACAAATTATCAATCCTTATTTTGCACAAGGTTTTCTAGAACTATGAACTAAACATACCTTTTCCCCTCAAATTTTCTTTGGATGAAACACAAGTATGATCAAACGGAGCTCCTGAAAACGAAACGCTTACTCTATCAACATTTGGCATGACAAAGTAGCTCATCAAAGAAACATCGTACTACCCAAAACTCATAATCAACCAATGATAGATTATAGAATAGGCGCATACAAAACTAATCAGCTTAGGTTGAGGTTGAAAATACAACACTTTGAAGCATTGGTTCACATTGGTAGCAAAAAAAAAAATGTCAACGAAGAGTATGACTATATATACTTGCCCAAGCACATGTTTGGGCTTTAATAATTTGACTAATGCTTTCAGATTTAGGTAGTCTCCAATTCACCTACCTCTAATGAAGTTGAACAAGTCTGATAATTTGATTAATGCTTTCAGATTTAGGTAAGACTCTACAGACGAACAGTGACACTTGTAACAAGCAATGTACATTACTAACAATAGTCTAAACCCAACTCAGACATTGTAACACAAAATTGTAGTCCATCTCTGGTATGTGATACGGTCCTGGTGAAGAAAGGTTCATATATGTTCATAATAAGGCTGGAGTGAATCCCAAAAGACAAAGAGGAAATTTACTGAAATAAGACAAACTATGACATTGTGCCTTCACAGCACCAATGCCAATTCCACTGACCCAATGAGTTTCTCAATACAACAACAATCAAACGATACCATACAAAAGACATATATAAAGGATGGTAATAAGACCATCTCGTGGAAAGGATACAGGTATGAATTCTCAAATCAGTGGAACTTATTACTCCACCATGAATAATAAGCTAATTTTCTACTATTGAAAAATGCTTCGGCGAATTCTGAGAGCCATGCTAAGCGAGTTAAATGGAAATTAAACAGCATTTAATGTGACAAGCCTCGAAAGGAACAATCAAGACAACCAAATAGAGAAGTAGAAGCACCATCTTACCATCATAATCAAATACAACCTGCAAATGAATACAAGAAGACCAATTAATTAAGAGAACAACTCTTTGATAAAGTAAGAAAGATATAACAACACCATAATCAAGCACTCTGTGAAACTTCCAGAGCTAAATTATAATAATTCTCCTAGTTTAGAGTAGAACCTATATAACAGCTGTTCAAACAGACATAGTAGTGTTGATGTTCGCCATTTGTTTGATTATCATCGTATACTGAAGATAGTGACATATATTGAGAATAACTTACAGCTACATGAGAAGGCAGAAATTCCAAGACATCAATTATCTGAAAGAGAAATATCAACCATGCGTCAGAATAAAAAAGCATGAACGGAAATGAAGGAATAATGTTATGATTGTTACATTTATTAGTTTTCATCCAACCTGTAACAAATAATACCATAAATGACAATTCAGAAAATCACAATAAATTAAATCTCATGAAAATTGGACGTATCATGATGGGAAACAGAAGAGGCAATATCCTTAAAATAGTTCAGATGAGAAAATTGTGTCAAACATTCACCAAAGAGATCAACATACAAGGGTTAGGCAATTTGAATTGTCATGGAACATGCATTATAAAAGTTGCCTAGAACATGACATGTCTGAGATCAGTTCTACAAACATCCTTTGGCAACAAGTGTTGGAAGGTTGGATTCCTCGATTGCAGTAAAATGAAATTGGACTCTGGTCTACATGATAGGAGAAAACATTTTCGATTTGAGGAAGGTCTTGAGATCAATTCTACAAGTAACCTGGAAGATTACTGAAGTGCTTCATTACGAGTCAGACATGCAATGGTTGATATTTAAGAAAATATCATTTTATAAAAGCAGCGTGTCTTTGACATTCTTTAACAAATGCAATCCAAATACAGGATGTTCAATTACAAAACATTGTTATTCTTGAGATAAACCATGTGTTGGAAAGAAAAGCTATTAACCAACCATATCACTTACAAGAGCTAGTGCTGAAAATATAGTTAGTACCCAATCTCCATTTCCATCTGCATTTGATAGATGACCATTGTGCAACTTCGCTGCCGCCAAATGAAAAGTAGAAGGATATTGTAATAATAATCCAATGATTACATGCGAAGTGATTGACCACATCAGAATCAAAGAACAAGCCTCTTTCCAACTTAAAAAAGACTAATTGACTAGTATTAAAAACTTCTTTGTTTCATTATTCAATGATTCTAACACTTGCGTATGCAAGACGGGTGCAACCATCAAGAGTACAAGCAATGAGTTAAATGAAATAAGAAGATAAATATTGGTAAAGCAACATGGCATGACTTTGGAAAGACAGATAAAAGTAAGTGAGGCTACTTACATAAGAGCTTGTAGTATGCTCGATAAATGATTGATGTTCCATCTACAAGCATCACTCTACAATTAGACGGATTACTATGACTATCCACCTTTCTCCCTTCATGCTGAGTTATATCATGGACTGTCTCTTGGTGGAGTTCATTTTCACACTTTAAGGGAATTACTGTATCTGCAGGAGAGGATGCAGAAATCGCTTGAGATGACTTCAAACTTGAGGTTGACAAACTCCGGCAATCCTGGGAAACAAACTACAAAACAAGCAAATTCATCAAGACAAAATTGGTTGACAGTACTCTCTCCATCTGAGAAAGAACATCAATCGGCAAATGTAAACAGAATTGAAATGCCAGATTTAGTGTACAGAACTCCACAAATGAAATTAAACATGCTTCAGAGTGGCAACTGTCTATCAAAGTCTCGTGTCCAATCACTTAAGCACAAACAAAGCCTGGAATCTCTTGACTGCTATTAGTTTACGATATCAGTACTACTTATCCTCTTTCCAAGTATAGCGACCTGGAACTGTATTACCCACAAAATCATATAGAAATTCGCTCAAACGAAATGGTCGACTGCCTAACTTCCACTATTTGTGCCAAAACAAACAGGGTACCTGCTAAAACCAAAGAACCATCTTAAGATGCCTTTCTTATATATGTATGCTTGAAATTGCCATTACCTTACTGCACGGAGTGAATGGAAACTGTATCTGAGCATTCTTCAGACTGGTTTGCAAAGAGCTAGTCAAGTTTCCACTCAAGTACCAAAACCTCCTATACAAGGAGTTGACCTGCCGATTCAAAGGCTGGTAATGCGCCATGAATTCAATGCATTCCTAGATGAGTTGCAGAGACCTGACATTTAAAATTACGACAAACAGTTAAGCAGCCAAGCCCGACGAAAAGAAAGGTAATGTTAGAGAAGAGTTGAAGATACAGCAATCACTTCGCACCTAAAACTACAACGAAGTTCAGAATTTCCTAAACAAATTAAACACCAGAACAAAATCAAGCCCTAAAAATGTTTTGATTAACAAGTCGAGCGTCCGCAAACCGCAATTGAAGCTTTTCCATGAAGTTAGAGAGCGCGTTATGTGACTATGGCGGAAACAAACAAATAGCAGCAGAACATGGGGACAACAAGTACAACTCCAGTTACGCTCAGCCATCTTACCACGGCTAGTTTTGAAGCTTTGGAGCATTTCCTTAGGATTAAGGGAGGAGGAGATACCTGCGAAAAATGGATTTCGCGCCACTCTCTCTTCTGTACTGTGGAAGAAGAAATCCTCTTCTGTTTTTTGTCTTCACTGCAATTCCTCCCTCCCGATTATTTTGTGGGTCGGCCAGTTGGCCGGAGGAAGGTGAGTAGGGATGGCAATGGCTAGGGTCGGGTGCGGGTTTACCATATACCAACTCCTAATCCGTTGGGTAGAGCTTTCTAAAATACCCGACCAAATAACCACCGAGTACGAAAATTATATAACTATACCTACCCACCGGATAACCACGGGTATTCGGGTAACCATGGGTACGAATACTAAACTATGAACTTATACACATATATGCACATATATACTGTTGTCCATTAAAATTCTCAATACTTGTAAATGTTCTAACTTCAACAATCCACACAAATAAAAACAGCAAACACATAATAATTGTTCTTGCTTCTACAATCCACACAAACATAATAATCGTCTACATCTTCATCATCAATAATGGTAGCTAAAACTCAATTTCTCAAGCAAAAATAAATTTCTCAAGGGAAATTGACCCTTTGGTTAGCGGGGCGGGTATAACGGGGCGGGTATTATCGATTACCATACTCGTACCCTACCCTTTATTTTGAAACCGGGTATTACCCATACCCGCCCCTTAACCCGTCAAAGTGGATAATTACCCTCGTTGACCGGTTACGGTCGGGTAGGGTACCCATGGTTACGGGTTGGATTGACATCCCTAAAGGTGACTAGGTGAGGTATGAAATTTGATAATGTAATGTGGTGTATAGCTTATTGTTGTATAGTTTTTTTGGGAAAGAGACATGAATGATGCAACGAATCAAAAATCGACCTTATCAACCAAAATCAAGTATCTGTTACCTTGTGAAACAATATTGTTTCTGGTAATATGATGAGGTGTAGTAAGTTTTATAGAAACTGAATTCCAGAAAATCGAATAAAAAATCGTCTATCTCGTTAGTTTTGTGATAGTTTGGACTTTTTGCCCTACTTTATCAGACCAGACCTGTTTAGTAAATTCTTGCTGCACACACACTCATTCCCTATCCAAAGATTAGCAAACGGGTAGATTTCACGCTTATCACTGAGTTTACTAAAATATGTCATGTTTAGTAATTGGAAAAAATAATATCAATGTTGGCCACTCAAATTACTAAAATATTTCACATTTAGTCACTCTATGTTATTCTTCGTCCAACTCTGTTAATGGAATCTGTTATGTACTAACATGGCTAAAGGGATCGCCTAGTCAGCGTCATTTTGGGTCGGAAATGATGAAACCAGACCCGCCACATCACTAAATCTGCCATGTCATATGTCAAACTCATCCCATTAACCCACCCAACCCATGAACCAAACCCGACGCCACTTAATTCCTAAATATGCAAAATAGATCGGTTAAGGGGCCATTTTTAGATCGATTCATTTCTCCTTCCTAGCGAACCCCTCTCTGTTCCTCTAGCATTTTGATCGAAATCATCGGAGAGTAGGGAGAGATGGAGCAAGCTACGCTATCCCCTTGTCCTAGTTCCTCCTTCAAAGTCGCCTCCGTTCTTCTTCTTAATTGTGCGCTGGTGTCATCTTCCCCTATCTCAGAAGACAACGAAACCCTAAATCGAAGCGAAGTTGCTACTCTCTTCTCTTTCGACTGTAAATGTAAGTGTTGTTTTTGCTTTTTCTGGTTATAGGCTCTCTTAACAGAGTTTTTTGTTAGAAGATACTGACACTACCCATATGCTATCCACGGAGGCCAAGCTGCGATCCAATGAATGAGGGGAGATGGGCTCACTTTATTAAGCTGTGGTGGGCCATTTAGCCCAAGCGGAGCCAAAGGGAGGGAACTGGTGGAGTGGCTGCAAATCCATCAAAATTTTGGGTTTGATTTTGTGAGAAGAAGGGTTGGGTAGAAACAGAGACACTCCGAAGACAAGGTTGTTTAGAGAAGGCGTCCTAAAAGAAAGAGGCCTCGAGTTAGGGACGAATTTGTGGTGTATGAATTTGTAGGAGCCCACAGTCATGATTTGCGCTCTACCGAGCATACGCACCTAATCAAGTCCAACAAGTGCATGAGTGATGCTCAAAGAAAGATGTTTGAAGCTAATCGTGATGCCGGGATGAGTCTTAGGGCATCGTTATCAGCTACTGGCTGAGTGTGTCGGTGGGTATCAAAATCTTACATTTACCAAATCCGATTAGAAGAACCACTTGAACAGTAAACAACAAAAGAAAATGGCTCATGGTGAAGCGAATTATTTGCTTGACTACTTTGAGGCATCGACCAGGATACCGGATCGGACCGGTCGGTTGAACCGGAAAAACCGGAAACCGGACCAAATCCGAAACGATACCTGAAATGGAGAGGAATTAGTGTGCCGACCGGTATTTTCCGGCAAACCATCGTACCGCGAGATTTCGGTCGGTTTCGATCCAACCGCCAGCTCTTAAATTACAACAAAGACTACATCGTCTCACTTAAAGAAAACCCAACTCCGTCGTCGTTCCCGATCGCCGTCCTCTTTCCCCATCGTCATCCATCCTCACCGCAGCTCGAGTCGACTCCGACTCCGCCTCTGCCTCCATACTTCAGCTGCCGAACTCCCACCTCCAGCGCCGATCTTCCCACCTCCATCTCTACACCCGTCGACAACCTTCCGGCCATGGTTAGTGAGCATTAAGGCTATAGGTTAGCCGTAAGGGATTTGTTATGTCAATTGATAGTCAGTGGCGGATCTAGAAAATTTTAATATGGGTGTCCTATTCAAAAAAAAGAATCATAAATAAAAAATATCGAACTAGTACAAATTTTAATATAAGGCCACGATGTGTTTTTATATTCTGAAAAAGAATAAAAAATAGGCTTGGTAAATTGCTCAACAAATCTGTATATCCTATTTGACAATAGTTCACGAACTGATCGCATATGAATTTCTAACATTGTTATTGATGTAACTCAAAGTTGAAAAAACTTTTTCAACACTTGTTGTGTAACCATAAAATCAATTCAAATTAAGGGTAGCCCGTAATTAGTTTAATTGTTAGGTTTTGGAAATAGTCGGGGATAAGGAATAACTTTTTACTATTATGTAGTGTTTAAAATAGAACAACAAATGAGTTGCAACTTAATAGAGGACAATGTTTAAAAAATATAGTATATCCTAAGTTTGAATAACACAGACTATCGCTTATTTTTTTAAGTATACGCAAACTACAACTGAGAATAGTATTATCGTTGTAGGGGTATCCCAAATCACTAATTATAATTTTTTTATCCATACAAAACTATTACCGGGGTTGAATAATTGTATTCCCAAATTTTAGGGGTGTCCCTCATGTATCCGCCCCTGTTGACAGTTCTCCCGTAAGTTCGCCGGAAGGGGTTTTTCCCAATAGGAATCTGGAGATGTCGCTTGTTTGATATATGAGTGGGGGAAACAATTAGCCGAGAGGCCTGATGAGAGAGGCGGGTGCCTTTTGTCGGGAAGGAGAAGAGATTCAGAACAAGATGAGAATAGTAGAAGGAGAAGAGGAGAACGAGAGATTAGTACAGGTTGGGTAAAAACTTTTATTTTTTATTTCTTTTCTCACTCCCAATAGACAATAGTACAACAAACATATTAGTAGTACATTTGGCTAATTACAAACAGATCCTCTAACTTCTATTGACATTTTTGAGTAATTGGTGTTATAAATTTTAATTATCCGGTATATTCCGGTTTTATTCCGGTATTACTCCGAAATGGTATGCTAATGTTGACGGTACGGTTTTTTTTATAAATTAATTTTAATTATTAGAAAAAACGGTATTTTAACAGCACAAAACGGTTGAACCACGGTCGTACCACAAAATACCCTGACACAAATGAGTCCGGTATGATATCCGGTACGGTTTCCTGAACCATGCTTTGAGGACCAAAAGGACAAGCATCTTGACTTCTTTTTATGTTGTAGAGGTAGAATGCAAGGATGAAGTTGCCAATATTTTTTGGGCGGACAGTAGGATGCGTGAAGAGTATGCGCTTTTTGGAGACTCGATCTACTTTGATACGACCTATCGAACCAATAAACACTTTCGTCCACTAGGTGCGTGAATCACCTAATTCCCTTGAGTGTTTTGGACACCTGTTCGGTTATGCATTGTCATTAATGGTTGTCTTGTGCAAGGATGTTTATAGGTTTCAATCACCACAGATGCCTCGTTCTAGCTACAACATCCCGATCGACGACCACGTATAACTGTCAACCGGGTGTAGCATAAGGCAAGCAAACAATAATAATTTATCGTACCACGGGGATCTAGGCTTACCTTATTTCAGTTTAGGGTTCGTTATCTAGCCAACCTACGATAGTGATTTAGAGAATTAAACTAACTAACCTAGCTAACCACTAACCTTGCTATTTACAAGGTTGGGAGCTCTCTTGGTTTTGAATCCCCCTAGCTCCATCAATTTGAACGATGTTGAGTACCTATCCTAGCTCGATTGTCTTAATTAATCTACCATTAGGACATAAAATCTCTCCGGATCGACTAGGAACGGTGAATCAATGGATGGGTGGTGCTCTATTCAACCTAGGGCACACCCAAATCGACTCACTCGGGGATTACCCGGACGATATAGGGTGAGGAGCGACCTGAAGACGCCAAGAAAGGGGGCTCTAAGGAGATTGTTTCCCTCCTAGGTCAAAAACTCAATTGACATGCTATGGAAACCAAACTCATGCTATTCATGAAAACATCCATCAATTAAGTAAAATCAATAATCAAACATGGAATGTGTCACATACATCAACACCCAATCAAAATCTAGACCTAGGGTTCTTAATCCCAAGAGAAGAGGGTGAGTTTCTAGAGAGACAAGAGGGAGATTACAAATTGGAACACAAGATCCTCTTTTTTTTTTTTCTAGGCTTGATTCCTTGCTTCCAAACTTGATCAATGCTTTCAATTAAACTCCAAGATCACTCAAGAACTCTCTCTCACACACAATAACTCCCCTTTGGTGTTTTGAGTCGAAGCCCTATAGAGAGAATCAAATTCTTCTCCAAAAACCAGCTCTCCCTTTTCTCTACCCGTTGCTGCCTTTTTATCCAGGCCG